ACTGACTCTTCAGTGCGAGATGTAAATAATAGAGCTGACTGGAACAAAGTGACCTCTCTGTAAAACGACTACCTTGCCATTCGCTGCTGTACACATTTCTTATTTACAATTTTCCATTTATACTTCTTATTTACAATTTTATGTTATATATATATAAGTATATATTGTATATATATGCAACATTTTATATTTTTCATGGATACATTTTTATCATTTCAAAAAATTCTGTATTTCACATTTCTTGGACTTTTTTTTTTTTTTTTAGCTGTTAATCAGTTATACATTTTGTATACTGGTAGTATTTAGTAATAAAAGCTTCCCTATGTATCAGTCACCTGCTGCATAGCTCCTTTTGTGAGTTTCCAGTAGGAGAGAGGCTGGGGTGGAGGAGGTCTCTCATCTTCTTTCTCTCCACCCTGAGGTGAAGGATGGAGGTGCCCATGAGTTCTTCTAAGCCGAGGCATCTACCCTGGCAGGCAACAGAATCAGGATGTGGTCCCACAAGGGCCCACTTTTGCTACCTGAGGATCACTGACTCTGACATACAGGTCTACCTTCCTTTCAGCCAGAACTGCCATCTTCCAGTAATTTGCCAAAATGACTAACACAAAGGGCGAGAGGAGGGGAACCCCATATGTTTTCCAGGCCTTTTAGAAAACATGTGGTCGTTCCTTTGGCCACATACATGTGAATCTACAAAAAGGGTGATATTGTAGACATCAAGGGAATGGGGACTGTGCAAAAAAGAATGCCTCGCAGATGTTACCATGGCAAAATGGGAAGAGTCTACAGGGTTACCCAGCATGCTGTTGGCATTGTTGTAAACAAGCAAGGGTAAGATACTTGTCAAGAGGATTAATGTGCGTATTGAGCATATTAAACACTCAAAAGTCGTGATAGCTTCCTGAAACATGTCAAAGAAAATGGTCAGAAAAAGAAGGAAGCCAAAGAGAAAGGTACCTGGGTTCAGCTGAAGCGCCAGCCTGCCCCTCCCAGAGAAGCACACTTTGTGAGGACCAATGGGAAGAAACCTGAGTTGTTGGAACCTATTCCCTGTGAATTCATGGCATAAACTGGGGGTGTTGCTCTGCCATTCAGTACCTAATTGGCAGCTTAAGTGTAGTGTCCTCGGTCCTATGTAAAAATAAAATCATCCTGTGTTGTAAGGGTGGTTTTCTTAGTTGAACAGGTATGTGGTGCCTTCTTACCTCAGAAATATTTGCAGCAGATTTTCACTGTACCTAGTAATTGTGTCTCGTCTTTATTCTTCAGTGTTTTTCTTGCTGAAAGATATTGCTGAGGTATTGTGCAGGAGTATACCCAAAAATGAAAATATTTATAAAATATTTATATTGGCTTGAAGATCCTGTAAATCATCATGGGGAAAAGATGTATCAAAGTAAATGGAAGTCACTTCAGAAAAAAAAAAACAAAAGACACACAGGTCCAGAGCTGGAGAAGGACCTCACAGCTGAGGCCAGTGCCAGAGCCCAAGGCTGCAAGCCATGACACCTAAGTCTTGAGCCAACTCAGCCCCGCTTCTCCAGGCTGTCTCTTTCCCTGGAGGCCGCTCCTCCTGACTCCCAGAAGCCACTTCGCATCTCTTCCCCACTGTGTGGTCAGCGGCTTTGTGTTGAGATACTGAAATCAGCCTGGAAGTGTTCAGGCCACTGAGAGTGTGACGAGTACTATAAATGAAGCCCTTTACCTCCCCCTGGAGAATAGCTCATGAATCAGAGCTTTCTTGCTTTCCACTGTTAAATCCTGTCCTGTTTCTTTGGCTTTAAAATGCAAGGTATAGGGCTGGCCAGAGAGCTCAGCAGATTAAAGTGCCGGCTTAGGCAGAGCACAGCAGCCAGGGTTTGATCCCCTCATGCCATGCTGGCCCTGCTGGCTCCCCCCATGGTGATTGAGATTGGGTGTGCGGGTGCATGCCTATAATCCCAACGCTTGGAAAACTGAAAACAGGAGGATCATACGAGTCTGATCTGTGTAATGAGACCCTGTAGACCTTTTCAATGTAAATACATTGAAAAGAAAATGTAGGGTATGCTCCACATGGGTTGTGGCTATCATCTCTAGTGCCTCAGTTTCCCTACTGGGCCTCAACAGTCCACAGTGTGAGGGAAGGGGCAACATCCCCAAGTACCTCCCTGACTTCAATCCCAGCAGCTTTGCTTTGTAAGTATTAGGGGTTTCTTATGAGGTCTAAATAAAACTTTTTGTAAAAAGTTGGAAAACCAAGATGCCTATAAAAACCTAACTTCTAGATGGCTCCTAGTCCCAGACCCTGCCTAGAGGCCTTGCAACACTAGCCGTAGGCCTCAAAATTAAGGGATGCTGAAGAGCTCATTGATGATGTCCAATAATAGTTCAATGCAATCTTTTTAAAATTGAACTCAGTGGAATAATCACTTCCCTGGCAAGCACAAGGGTCTGAGTTCAATCCCCGGTTCCACAAAAAAAAAAAAAAAATAATAATAATAATAATAATAATAATAAAATAAAAATAAATAAATAATAAAATAAAATTGAGGCAAAACCCGGGTGTGGTGACCTACACCTGTAATCCCATCATTTTGGGAGACTGAGGCAAAAGGATGGCCATTTTAAGCCCAGTCTGGGCAATTTAGTGACTTAGCAAGACCCTTGTGTCAAAAAGGCCTGAGGCATGAACACCCCGGGTGCAGTCCCAAAATCATTAAAAACAAAAAATCAAGGTGAAAATCCATGGTAAACAAAGCTTCCTTTTGCCTCGGGCTCTGAAATGCTCACTTGGCCCTGCTGGGGGACCCTATGGAGCACACAGGGCTGCTTTGTGCATTCTAAACCTCACTGCTGCTGTAACATCACCTCAAGTGTCACTGAGGTGACATGTGCAGCTCAAAGGACACGCTGGAGTGAATGTTTATTTCCTGCTGTGCTTCCTGCCCAGCTTCCTTCCTGGAGCCAGGAGCCACTCGGGAAAGGAAGCTGGTGTGTCCCAACTCTGATTGCTCATCAGAATCACCTGCGCATCTTTCTCCCCACCCCTGACCCCATACCCAGGCCCCACCCTGTCGTGACAGCAGCATTTCCAGATGGGGACTCAGGCAGCAGAACTCTGTGCAGTTCCCTGACTGATTACGACTTGTAATCCCAGCTGAGAGCCGCTGCTCCACAGCTTAGAGTCACACAGGGCTTGAACAGTGGCAAGCTCTGGGCGCCTGCCCTGAATACACATGGACTGTATGGTGTGCAGGGCCTGCTGCAGAGCACTGGGAGGATGCTGGCAAGGCCCGTCCACTGGCACCTGTGCAGCCTCCAGCAAAGCTAGCAGGAGAAAGAGACACAAATGCAGCTGAGCCTGGAAAAGCCACTTGCACCCTCCCCAGGAAGAATGCCACAAACCTTGAGACCGTTTCTTCTGCCCTCCCTTGTGAAAGTCAGGGAGCGAAGGCAGCTCTTGAGCCCTGCAGCTGCTGCTCCAAGACTATCATTCACTACAGCGGGGAGGAGATGAAAGTAGTAGACAGAAGGGGACCTCTTGAGAAAGGCAGCTGGTGGCTGGAAGTGAGGGCACCATGGCCTGCAGGCGACTGTCACCCAGTGGATTAGGATGCACGAATGTCCAGAAAGGGGTGAATGACAAAGGCGGGAGAGAGTAGCTGAGTAAGGGAATGAGAGGATGGAAAGGAGAAAGGGAGAGGAGGAAAATGGGAGGGGAGGAGGAGAGATGGAGGAAAAGCAGGGAAGATAAATGAGCAGATGGATGAGCAAATGGAAGCCCAGGTGAAGACCCAAACAATTGTTTTTATTTTGTGTGTGATGTGTGTGTGTGTGTGTGGGGGGGGTGTTACTGGGGATTGAATCCAGGACCTCCACACTGAGCTACATCCCTGGACCTTTTTATTTTTTAAGACAAGTTCTAAGTTACCCAAGCTGGGCTTAACTCCTGATTCTCGTGCCTCGGCCTCCCAGAGTGCTGGGGTTAGAACCCCCCTCCCCAGCTGATTAAGCACCTGCTCAACTCTTCAGCGTGGCCCCCGGAATTAGGCAGCATCAGCAACACCTGAGCTTGTTAGTCGCTCAGACTCTCGGGCCCCAGTCTTAGCCCGCTGTATGTTAATAGGCTTTCCAAGTAATCAGCGTGCATACTAAAATCCAGGAACTGCTTTATTAAACTAGCTGTGTATCTGAAGCCTAGCTAGATACATCAAAACGAACTTTAATAAAGATACCAAAGCTCAGTGAAATCAGACTTTTGAGCACTGGGGCCCAGGGCTGCTGCTGAGCTGACTGGGAGTAGCCAGCTAGGGCTTGGAGATCTTGGCTGGCTGGGGCTGTGAGGACCTGTGAAAATTTCACAGAGGATGGAGCCATCAAAAAAGGCTCTCTCGAGCTCAGCACCTCGGCCTGGCCACCTGGGCTGTGGGCGTGGACTGTGATTGGCTGAGAGCTGTTTGCTCTTCTGCACTCTCCCTCTAGCCCCCTCTCACCTGCGGCAATTAGAGGGATGTGGGGAGACACAGGCTTCACCTAGTGGAGCCCGCCGAGGGACCGGGTGATTTCACGTTGTAAAGAATTCTCCACTCTCCCGACAGCAGCATATCCCGAAGCCATTGGCTGGGGCTGCTCCGGATACTGTCAGACGCTGCAACCTCAGCTCCCAGAGCCCCAGGGTCCACCGCACCTGTTTCCCTCAGCCCATCACCGGATGTCCCCCCTGCCCTCCACTTTACACCCTGGAACCCTGGAGCCCTGGAGCCCCCACGCTCCTTCTTGCCAGTGCTTTCCTCCCAGGAGAAGCCCAGGGCCTGCGCAGGCAGACGCTCCAGGTGGCCCTGCCCCTTATTCCAGAGCCTCCGCTCTCGCCAGGTGCTCTAGGTTGCCTCATGCGCCTTCCAAGGCTGTGGGGCCTTTGTGAGAATCTAAGTTTACTAACAGCCCAGCCCTTGTGGGAAACAAGAATTCAGTTTAATTGAATATGAAATGCATCCAATCCGCAAGCATTTCTGACAGTAAGGCCCAGGATGCACCACGCAGGGACAAAGGGGAGGGCGTGAGGAAGCAAGGGTCTGGCGTGGGGGACCAGGTGTTGGGGAGCAAAGCCGGAGAGGGTGTGAGGACGATGCTCAGCGACTCCTGCTTACAAAAGTGCTAGTCAATGTCCATATTTGGGAAGGAAGGGGAGGGCAGCTAGGTCTATTTCATCTCGGTTCTTCCGTCTTCCTCTTGTGCAGGGAAAAAGATTTGGCAAGTCAGAGGAGATCCATGACAGACCGCCAAACCTGGCCAACAAGTCTTTCTTGGGCTTTGGTGCAGAAGCTCAGCAAGGGAGGTGCATGGAGACCTGGCCCAGGCAGGGATGGTGAGGGTGACAGCCTGCAGGCACAGGGCACAGGGACGCCTTCCTGCCCCTTGAACTGCTGTTTCCGGGGTTCGCGTTCCACAGGGTGCTGTCACATCTGTTGTTGGAGCAGAGCCTATAAATTTTGGGGCAGCCTCCCCAGTGGTGAGTAATGAGGAAAGGTGGCCAGCTTCCATGTTCTTCCAGAAAGTGCTGTGTGAGGGTTTAGGGGGCCTGGAAATACCTTTGAATGTCTGCCACTGGTGTCACTGGCCCTTCCCGGCTCTTGGAGATCAGGAGTCTAGAAGCGAAGGGCAGATGATTGGGTCCACACCTGGGAATGCTCAGACCCCAGAGACCTGTATGGGCATCACGCTTCGGGGCCAGGACTGGCACCAGCTACCTTCATGGGGATGGACTCTGTTCTGTGGAATCTGTGGAAGAGTCAGGCCAGAGCCATCTGCGTGGGTGCAGGGGAAGTGACTGGGGTCTCCATCTGTCTACTCCTCCTTGCTGCTCAGGAAAACGCTGATGCTGGTGAGGTGAGTTAGTCACCCAGTGCAGCTTGAGATGAGGTTGCCCCAGCAGCTGTGCCCCAGCACTGGCCCAGGGGAGCTTCGTCAGCAGCCACACATGAAACGCATGCTCTCCAAGTGAATGTCCCAGGGAGCTGGGGGCCAGGGGTCTTCCTGAGCTTGTGTGGCATCACTACATCACTGGGACCCATTTTTTGTCCTCATTGTAGAGGAAGGACTGCTTCCCTGGGAGCTCAGGCCTGTAAGTGGCTGAGGAGAAAGAGAGAAAGAAAGTCTCACATTACATGGTTCTTAACTCTCCTCTGCCAAAATGACACTATGGCTTTTAGCAGTCTTTAACTCTTAACTTCTTTAACAGAACAAAATTTGCCAAACATTTTTGTACAAAAATAAAAAACCACACGAAATAAAGCAATATTCTTGAAGAAGCAAGGCGTTAGTTTGATAGATTTTTGTCTTGATCTGGTCAGGAAACTCCCAGAAAGGGGAAAGCCATGACAGCTGCAGATGCGGCTTCCTAGGGATGAGCTGCCAGGCAAGCAAGCCCAAAGTGACAGGGAAGTCTCCTACCAAGCTGACTTGGCTAGTGAGGGTCCCTCGATGTCTTGTCAGAGAAAACCTGAGGGGGGCCTATGACTGCCTGCTCTGTCTGCATCCTCTGGAAGCCATGAGGAATGTCAGGAAGCCCTTCAGGGAGGCTCTGTTGGCAGAGGAGAGCCCGGCAGCCACAGGCCACCTGTACCTGCATGCCAGGCACCTTGCGCCCAGATGAAGCTCTGAGACTGACAGCAGTGGCAGCACACCTGTGGCATGCATGCCGCAGCAGGCAGGCGGGCCCTCTATGACACAAGCTAGTCATCCCTGCCGCTGAGGGATGAACTGCAGTGTTGGAGCCCTGCAAGAAGTAAGTGGGGGG